CCCCAAAACCCCAAAACCCCAAAACCCCATGAAGAGACTTGGTAATTTATAGCCACACAAATAATTATTAGAATTGATTTAATTACATAAAATTATTAAAAGATGCATAAATATACAATAGAGCATTCATTACTGCTATTGAGAAAAAATACACTCAGGCTTTCTAGAAGTTCTAGAGCCTTCCATATTATCAACAAGAATCAGACTTAATTAGTTCAAAGATTCATTAAAACACCTCAGTTAATGTTCTTGAATAGTAATATCTCATATGAATATATCAATGTTAATCTAGGCCAGAGATAATTCTCGAACTCTGAAGGTTAAAAGAAAGAAGAAGAGCAGCCAATTGAAGTAGTTATTGATGAGCTCACTAAGGAGGAATCAGAACCAATACTTAAGGATTCAGAAAAGATGGAATTTAAAGCAGAGACTAAGAAGTTGCTTGATATTGTAGCCAAGTCAATTTACACAGACAAAGAAGTATTCTTGAGAGAGTTATTAAGTAATTGCTCAGATGCACTAGAAAAACAGAGATTCAAGCAAGTATCTGGGAGTTCACAAGGAGGAAATGATCTATATATCAACATCACTACTAACTCAAAAGATAGAGAACTAGTTTTATTCGTAAATACTGACTTTTATTTCATCTATCTTAATAGGACTCAGGTATTGGAATGAGTAGAGAAGAAATTATGGATAATTTGGGAACTATTGCTAAGTCAGGTTCACAAGCTTTTCTCAAGGAAATGAAAGACAAGGATGTTTCATTGAATGACTCTATTATTGGGCAGTTTGGTGTTGGTTTTTACTCGACCTTTATTGTCTCTGACTCAGTTGAAGTTTACTCTAAAGCTGAGGGTCATAATGGTGTTAGATGGGTCTCAGATGGTTCAGTAAGTTTTAGTTTTCAATTAATGAATTCAGGGTGAATATGAGATATCAAATGCTGATAACTTAGGCTTTGAAAGAGGTACCAGGATCGTCCTCAAGTTGAGATAAGATTGCAGAGAATTCTCAACTGAGAATGAACTTGAAAAGATTATCAAAAAGTTCTCACAATTCATTAGTTATCCAATTAAGCTCAATGGCCAAATGCTGAATAACCTCTAAGCCATTTGGTATCGTGACAAGAGAGAGATAACTACTGATGAGTATGAAAGATTCTATGAGAGTGTTGCAAAGACCAAAATTCCTTATAAGTATTTACTACATTACTCAACAGATGTCCCACTATCAATCAAGGCCCTTATCTACATTCCAAGCACTCATAATGAAAAGTATGGTATCTAAAATGAAACCCAAGATATTAATCTCTACTCAAGAAAGATCTTGATCAAATAAAATTGCTCAGAATTGTTGCCAAATTATCTAAGATTTATAAAGGGAGTAGTCGATTGTGAGGATCTTCCATTAAATATCTCAAGAGAGACCTATCAAGATAGTTCTTTAATGAACAAGCTAAGAAATGCCATGACCAGAAGAATCTTAAAGCTTTTGGAAGAAGAGGCCAGAAAAGATAAGCCAAAGTACAACAAGTGGTATGAGGAGTTCAACAATTTCCTTAAGGAGGGCTTAACCTCTGATACTGAAAACTCTGAAGCTTTGTTCAAGCTTCTTAGATTCAATGCTAACTTCTCAAAGAAAGAACTTGTTTCTCTAGATGAATATATTGAGAAAATGAAGCCATCTCAGGATAAGATTTTCTTTATAGTTAATCCATAAATTGAATCCGCTATGAATTCCCCCTATATGGAACCATTTAAAGGCACTGATTTCCCTGTTTTGATATTAAGCAACAACATCGATGAGATTTGCTTCTAACAAAGTGGTAACTACAAGGGAAAGAGTTTCGTAAATGTGGAGACCTCTTATGAAGAGATTCAAAAGGATCTTGGAAAGAAAGAAGAATCTTCCCATGCTTTGAGTAAAATCCCAGAAGACGAAATTGCTCCATTCTCACTTTGGCTAAAGAATGAATTACAGCCATAAATTACTAAGATTTCGCTATCAAAAAGACTGAAAGATGCACCAGCAGTTATTGTAGGTCAGCAATCAAGTTCAATGAGGATGATGATGCAAATGATGGACCCATCTGCAGCAAATGAGGGGCTTAAAGATCAAACCCTTGAAATAAATGCTAGCCATCCAATTATAGTGAACTTAAATTATCTTAGAAAGCATGATGCTAAATTAGCTAGTCTAGCCACTCATACTCTGATTGACAACATCAACCTATTAAATGGAACTCCTGCTGACGTCCTTAAGTTAAAGGATAGAAGCTTTGAAATGTTAGAGAAATTCTTAGATCACAACTTAGAAGGTCTAGACCCCAAACCCCAAAGAAAGCTTAAGGCTAAGTCATAAGATCTAGAGATCGAACTACCAGAAGATATTGACTCTGTTCTCAAGAAATCACATGAGGATCTGAAAGAGAAGAAATCAGATAAAATAGTTAGAGAGCATGTTGTAGGAAGTGAAAATAATAAGAATTAGTGATGGATGGACTATCAGCATTCCTTATCTTATTGAATGAAAGAGACTTAATGATATTGCAAGTTTAATTAACTCTATTTAATTTATTATAGATTACTTTTATGCTTGAGATTGAGGCATTTTGGGGTTTTGGGGTTTTGGGGAGATCGGAAGAGCACACGTCT